TTCCCTTACCAGAGAGCATTCAACCTTTTCTCCTGAAACCAATATGGTACAGGACACAAGCGACCACCCAGCAACTGCTGTACGAGCAGTTAATAAAAACATTTACACAAATAAAGGTAGTTCCTGGAACTCAAGAAGCAAACAAAAGCATAATTAAAGAGACGCACTGATCACACTTGGGCCCATACGCTGCCTTCTTCTTTGCCTACAACTCCAACTGATACCAAAAGGAGCTCTGCAGAGCGGCAGGACATCGCATGTGGATTGCAGCAAACAGTGGATCCCGGGGGGTACGGTCGTATCATTATGGCAAGTGCTTCTTCATGTACATCGCACAGTGCAACCTACTGTCATATCAGCCTTTTAGAGTCAAGTGACTAATATCACATCATCTCATTCACTTTAAAGAAACATTCCTTTTCGGAAGTGATAAATCATCTATAAACTTTAGATACTCCCCACTATCCCCACATCAGAGGTAACAACAGAGGTAACAAAATATTGCAACCCTTCAGGTTCTCACCAGTTTTGTATGATCAATACCAGAATGTCATGTTAAAACCAAAAATAGTTATGAACAAACAACACTCACCTAAACTCTAAGTACAGGACAAGGTGCTTCTTCTAATCTCACATTGTTGTGTTTTACTCCACCAGGTGGAAAACATTCATTTTTTTTTTTTTCCTCCATTCTATCTCAGTTTTTCACAATGGAACATAAGTCTTTGAGCATGAGTTTAAGTCCACCCTCTTGTAAAGCATTTCACACAGAAATCACACTAGCAAATATTTTTTGGTAACAGAAATAAAAGACTGTCAAAATCAATGGGCTAAGGGATATAATTTGTTACAAATTTATTTAATCTTCAGTATTTCAGCTTGCACCTTTGCTTCAGCACTTTAAAATAAAATGTTTCAACTATGACAGTAACTGCCTAATTTACATTGCGTCCCAGTCAGTGTTCTTAAGAGAAGCTCATATTAATCCCATTAATCCCATGTTGTGTTTGGTGTTGCGTATGACTAGCTCCACTTTTTTCTTTTTTCTTTTTTTTTTTTTTCAGAATTAACAGTGTCAAGTTTTTACAAAATCGCTGAGTTTACAACATTTTTGTGTGCACAGACCCAGAAGTACAAACTGCGACCTGATAATCCTGAAACAGTCAGTAGTCTAGGAGGGAATTCTTTTTTTTTTACTTCTTTTCCGTGCCTGAAAACAAGAAAACTTCAAATCCTACTGTATATTTAAATGGTAGGAAGAAAAAATATACAAGCTTGTATTTATACTGTATTTCTATCAACGGCAACAGGTCATAAATTCATGTTTGCAACTATCACAAAGACTCATGAACACCAATTCAGTTTTATACTGTAAATACTGCTGGATTGATGGTTTAGGATTATCAATTCACTGTTGTCATATGTCTGTAACAGTTCAAATGCATCCTGGAGAAAAATCCTGAAACACATACCTTTCGGTATATAATAATGCAACTGCATTAGCTAAATATATACTGTACATAAGTCTTATCAGCATTTTACCTACCAAAGATGTAAGATTCCACTTTCAAATACAAAGCAGATAGCCAATAATGTATACTTATAATACAGCCCTCTTCTTTGTTTTTGTATATTTTTTTTGTTTGTTTTAAACAATTTGGTCACAATGCACCTTTGATATAAAAGCATTTTAAACTTTATTATTAATACTCAGAACATTAGGATTTCCAGAATTTTTTTCAGTAGCATTTGTAGAACCACTTTTGGTAACAAATACAGTAGTTAGGAATGAGCATCCAGATGAGAATGCAGAAGTATATTATCCAGAATCCTTTCCAGCTAAGACCATAGGGCTGGTATTGTGATGAGTAATAGTACTAGAACCACAAAAACACTATAGTATGTTTCTTAGAGGCTACATCCTCTTTTGCTGGAACACTTTATAAATACATATTAAAAAGTAAGGCAACAACTCCAAACAGTCCAAACTATCTCAACTCAGTTTCCAATTAGATCCAAGACCACTGGAGATCAATTTCATGCTTGCACTGTTTAGCGTTTGTCTTTATTCTTTCGAAATGGTCCAATAAAACATACTGTAATAATTTAGCAATTAGTATTTCTAAACCAACTCCAGTATGTGTGTCCAATGCCATATCACTAATACTGGTTAGGTACTGAAGTCCAGGGTGTTACCACTGCCCATTTTCGAAGGATTGTGGACACAAATTTGGATTTGCAATAAACAGGTGCACAAATCCAAAGCTCCCTTTCCTACTATGTTTATCACCTACTTGTTTTTTAACTCCTAATGTTCAAATTAAGGAAGCACCAGAGACGGCCTGGTACTAAAAAAATGCTCACACCAGTAAACAAAACTTTTATTCAGGACCTATGTTTTTTCACAGCCCTGATCTGAATGGACATTCAACTTATGAAGATGTGCAAAAGGAAAAAAAGTCAAATTACAGTAAAGTTATCCAGAGAAGGAGGATGTTACACAAACTCATAAGGAAATGACAGTCTTTTTTCTCTTTTACTATAAATACACTTAACAGTTTAGCAGAAAGACAAGCTAAATTTTAAGATTGTTCACATTTGAAAGTTGTATTATACTCTCTGCTAACGATAAATAAGGAACAGGTCCTGACAATGGAATTTGACATCGCAATTTTCATCAACAGATCTTTGAAGACTGGTTTTAAAGGAGGGTTAAAACAATGATTATGTTTGCAAAGTTCTGAGAAGTCCATCTGCTGTCCAAACTTTGGATTAAAGTCCTTATTTTTTTCCTTTACTTAGAGACAGGTATATACAGTGCTGTTGTAATAATGAAACAAATGTGAAATCTACTGTAAAGTTGCACAATACAGAAAACTGTTGCTCCATCTTCTACTACATAAATGTGTGACTCCACAGGTTAATAATGTTGTTTTGTTTTTTTGTTAAGTTGGAATTATTCCATCACGTCTAAGACCTCTCTTTAATTCCAAATCCTCCAGTTTTTTCCACAGTTCTTCACGCTCTTTCTCTTTCTTCTTCTCACTGACAGATGAAATAAAACAAAGAGTTAGCAGGAAAGAAGACTGTAGAATATTTATGTTTAAAAATATATAGTTGATATTAATTAGCATCTCTTAATTACACTGAACACCACTGCAATTTTCCTAACATATATTTAATTTTTGTAAATATTTTTCCTTTTTTTTTTTTTTTTTCATTACCTACATAAATGTCACTGAACAAAGCAGCAGGAAAAGAACATAAAACACAAGCTGAACAAAGTGACAGTGTTCATAGACACTAGCTTGTAATACAGAAGACAAGAATGCAGTGGACTTTTATTATGGAACAAATATATCATTATTATAAAAATTAACATTTCAGGACTAACTTACATTTAATTATTTTCAAGTTTGTTGAAGCAAGGTATTTTATTTTTTAATCTTAGAAATAACAGCCACTTTTAAGAACAAGCATTCCCTTGCCCTTTTAGAATCACCATTCTTTGTTACATTGACTGGTGGCTTTCATATAGCTTAGGCACCAGCCAACAGAAAGTTCAAATTACAAGATGTGTCTCTTGTTCAGTGATTTATTTTTTTCCTTACCAAATCCCTACAAGAAGATCTATGTAGCATTTGCTTTAACAACAGACTTCAATGGCTGATTTGATAAAATTAAATAGCTAACTTAACATTTGTTTTACCTGCATTATTTACTTTCTAGATTTCCTGTCTCTGCCATAGCTTACTTTGAATAAATCTCCTTGATACTACAAGGTACAAAATGTTTTCAATTTCTATTAAATCACCTGGTAGATTTAGATGAAATGGGAATCTAACAATTAACAGAGATACAGATTCTCTGTCAGTCACATTAGAGAATTACTGAAAAAATATTTCAGCTGATTAGAAACATTCCTACACATTTGTTTCAGTCAAAATGCCAACATCTTGCTCATTTATTTGAAATGTTAATTTCCCAAGAGTATTTTAAACATTTTTTATTAAAATATTTAAAACATATTTTAAAACATGTTTATTTTTTTAAAACATATAAAAAATACAAACAACTTTCAGATAAACTCCTAAATAACAATTGGAAAAAAAAAAAAGAGAGCCCACTGTCACTAGAAAGTATTTAAAATTAAACATAAGAAATAGCCTGACATTTTCAGGCTACTTACCAATATTTATCTTCTAATCATTACGAAATATATGCCTGCTTACCTAAAAGACTGTTAGAGGATGATCACCTCAGCCAGATCGCATATTTGACCCATCATAGTCATTAACATTGAACATATTTCTCCTCAAGCTTTAAGTATCAAAGCTACCCTTTTGAAATGGGATTCTATTAAGATGCCAAAGTTTTTCTGTAAACACTAAGGTAAATAACCCAGTTTACACATGCAGGTCTTTCCATGTTTTAAAATTATAAGTAGTAAATAAAAATGGTGAAACGGTTATCACCTCCCTTGGTAGGAGATACAACATCAGGAAGTACAAGAAACATTCTTTGTGCAGTTCAGTCAATAAACCTCACCCGTTATCCAGACACAGGACATACTACTACAGTGTGTGGTCCTGTTAAGAGCAGAGTTCTTCATCTTGGGGGCCAAAGTGCAATCACAAATTGATTTAAGCCACTGAGGTCCCTCAGTAAATGGCTGGATTAGATGACCAGTCCTAAGATCCTCTGCCTTTTCTGCAAGAAAATCGTGCAGTGTTGTCTAAACTGCACTAGCAGATCGAGCCTTATCTATCAACACCTGTCTAAAATTGATCTGACATCTTAGCTCAAATATATATATCCAAGTTTCTTAAAGTAAAATACTGTATTAGTGAACTAACTTGTTAAGTGTAGATTTTCTGTGTATAAAAGTTTTGTGTATGAAACAGAACAAAAGGACAGTGTGACTCCAGTCACACAGTTCAAAAAATAGGGCCTCCAAGAGACTTCAGAGACTGCACTAACCTAACAAGGTCTCATGACACGCAATGCCCATTGCTTTGCTTGGGGGAACCCTGAGTCACAGAAAAGGTATGACTCAAATGAAGCTGTAAACTGTTCACAGTTCCTGAAGTTTCCTCATTTTTTTCACCTGACACTTTGGGTAAACTGAAAATTTTGCAAAAAAATGCTGCACTATAATTGAAAAAAAAGATTAAGGAAAATAGGAGAAAAGACAAAAACCATTTTACTAGGATGGAACTAATGATCATGAGAGTGGTGTATCTAATGCAGCCTGCATGATAAAAGACTCAGATATAACAAGACCTCTGAGTAAGAAATTATAAGGGGTTGAAAGATGTCTCTGCTTTAAGACCACATCTAGCCTAGAAATAGTAGTTTGGAAAATTAAATCTTAGGGTTTTCCCTCATGTCTCTTTCCAAACCTCAGTGAGACTTTTTTGAAGTCTTGAAGCTAAGTGCTATCTTTAAACCCTTGTTTTTCTTTTATTATTGAAGATCTTGACATATTTAAGTCTTCTGGAATTAGGATTCAAAAGGAATTCCACGATGAATGCGGATTCCCAAGCAATGCAATGGGTACTGTATTTCATAAGGGGTCAAGAACAACCTGTACATGATATTATCTTACATTTTGCAAAGAGAAGGCTAGAGAGCAGGGGGAAAATGAGGCATTGTGTCTATTATGTGTGAGATTATGCAACTGCATCTGAGTGTAAGGGGAAAAACTAAATAGCAGGCCTTATGCACAGCTGACAAAAAAAGCTTTAAAAAGTTACCGCTGACGATCTGACTTGTAAGTGGCTGTCAGCTCATCAAACATGGTGCTGTTCATTTCCATAAATGCCTTCAATACATTGTAGACTAAAGCCACAATAGCCCTGTGAAATATTAAAAAAGAAAAAAGAAAGGAGTCTATTAGTTTCAGGTGAAATCAAACATGAAATAAAAGTGTCTTCTCTTACCAGCATTTCTGTGACCAATTCTGCTCCTGCAAGTATGATAATGTAAATTCTTTGATTTCAGTGCAACTACTTTTCATTAACATATTTAAACGTGAAAATCAGCTTTCATGTCTCTACTGACTACATAAATGGAGCACACTAAAACTCTAGGGGAAAAGGTAACAACAGAAAGCTATTACATATAACTACAGACTCTCCCCTCATGCTGTGGAGCAATGCCAAATGCAACTCCAGGGATTCAAATCATCGATGCTAGCAGAAGGAATAGAATATAAATATGAAATGGGAATGATTCATATTTCCTTATGATTTTTCTATGAAGTTGAATATTCAGTGCACCTATGCAAAATACAAAGCTGTATTTCAGGAGTTATTTCCTTGTACTCCTACATTTCATATTCATTTTCAATTTGTACAGCAAAAAACTCCTAAAAACCCCACAAATCCTTCAGATGAGTACTGCACTAATTGTCAAAAACTGTGTATGTGTATATATATATATATTTTAAAATATACATATATATATATAGTATCCATACACATATCTCTCTCTCTATCCTCTGCCTACTTTGCTTACTGCTGTTCCTGACCTTACCCAAAAGCCAATACACCACTGCTTATTTGAATTCATGTTAAATCTAAAACATGACAGGCATGATTTGCTCACACAGGAAGAAATGGTATATAATAGTAATAATTTCAAAAAGGCTTCAAAGGCATTCTGTCCCACAAAGGTTCAAAAAAGGTAGAATCAGTTTCCTCTTTTATAACACCTGACTGGATAACTAACTTAAAATACACTAGAATTTTCAAAGTAAGATGGGTCTGCCAATAGTCTGGTTATCTAGAGGTCAAAATTCCTTTCTGGCAGAGTTGAAGATAAAGAAACAAGAAAGCAACTGAAAAGGGAGAAGGGAAAGAAACAAATGTAAAAATAATTTCAAATTACTTGAAATAGATTCTCAATGAAGAGATCCCTGATTCACTACTATGGTTGTCATATTCAGACACAGGTCTGCTTAGGAAACAGCTCTTTAGCCAGGAGGCAGTGAATCAACATCAGAGGTGCCAGCAGACAAACTACGTGCCATTTCCCATGCTCCTCCACTCATCTATCGTTCATCTCTTTCAATAAATTTTTGGTTTTGTTGCCTGCATTTAAAAAATATTCTTATAAATACAAAAATTCTTTAAATACCTTCTTTATTTTACATGTGCCTTAACTTGGCTTGTGTGTCAAAGGTACAACATTCCTGTGGGTATGAAAACTCTGAGAACTGGGATACCACAATGCTCTCATTACCAGAGGCATCCCAGTGCATGGTACAAAGTCTGGGCAGGAGCACGGGCAGGTTAGATACTGGTAATGCACTACTGTGCCATGGAAAGTGTCTTTTTGTGACAAGCATTAGTTACAGAAGCCTTCCAGTAACATTAGATTGGTCATGAAAGCACATAACCTTGAGGTTTGGCTAGATACAGAACAAAAAGACTAATGTTTTAAAAGATGAAATATTTTACAAATACATTACAGTAAGGTCTTAAAGCAACTGGGACCTGAACATAGCACAGATCATCAAAAATACTTGCTTTACTAAATGGTAACCACCTTGACTTAGATAAACTTTTCAACTGAAATGCAGAATACATGGCAGGTAACTGTAACAGTATTTGCCACTAAAACACTTTCTATTAGGTCATTCAGTTTAAAAATAATAATTCCAAATTAATGGAATATCAATATGAAGCAATTACTCTATTACCATGCCTAATAAGAAAACAGCTGTATTTAAATAAATTTCGATAAAACAACCCAACCTAAGAATATGCTAATGTCTACATATTTCATAGATGTTCAGAAAAATGCCAGTACCAGAGGTCTACCAGAGTTATAAGTATCTTCCATGCTACAGCCACAAAGCTTTATTAATGCCAAGCAGTATTCTTCTAGACCATTTACAATCAGCCTTAAGATGTTAACCAGTTTATAAAAAACTGTGTAAGAGAAATGCCTGATGAGCAACACTTTTTCTTGAATAACAATGTAACATCTAATTTATTGTCTCCAAATTGTGAGAAGGTCTATTTTTATCCCATAAGGTACTGATTTTTGTACATATACCAGATAATTAAAAACACTTTGAGACAAGCTCAAGTACAGGCTAATTTTATATTGGCATTAACAGAGTTGCAACTGCTCATGCCAGCTTTGCATCTGGATCTCTCCCATTCAGATATTCTCCAGCGGACATTCCCTAAGTTTATCAGTAATATGTCAAATGGTAAGATAAAGAGTAATGGCAAAAAACTTACGGATTCCAGTGTTCTTTAGAAATCCTATAAAGGCTGGAAAACATGATGGGAAGTATAACATTTGAATTCTCCTCTATCAAACTCATGATGTATTCGTTATTCCAATAATAGAGCGCTCTTTCAGCCACCTTTTGAGTCAAAGGAATAAAATATTAACAGGAATTCAGATACTTATAATTTTCTAATTTTCTGAAGGAAAAACAAATCACAGAGAAATTTCACAAGGATGAATTAACCAGAATCATTAACTTTGGAATTAAAACTCTACTTTAATCAGCAGCATAACATGCATTAATGGAATTAAGTTTTTATCCTATAATTCAGATCCCACAGCATCCACTCTCTCTTTCCCCTGAGCAATATGTTGTTACTCACTGAAGATCAGGTGCAGACACTGCATTAATGCTGCAGCTGTGGAGGGGAAGGGAGAGCAGAGACAGACTTCCCATGGCCCCTCTCCCTCAATCCTGTCACTGCAGTTGGAAGGAAGAGAGCAGTGCTGGGACACCGGAGGAAGGAGATGGGGAAAGGCCCAGTAGCTGGGCTGAATAAGGGGAGGAAAGATCTTAACTGTGGGGAAGGTATCAGTGATCATATCCACCTTGGGGAGGAGATGGGGGTGGGTAGGAGTGAAAACACTGACATAAATTATGCAAAAAAACCAATGTAGTCCAAGGAAGAGCCAAAACCAGTCACATCTGCCTTTGGGCCAAGACAGGTCATCTAGCTTAATATGCAGACACTACAGGCCACGAATCCGATCTCCTCTTCACATATGATGCAATTTAAATCCTATTCATTCCCCTTCTTCCCATTATGCAATGTGAAGAAAACAAGCTATGGGGGTTCTATCACCTCTAACCAGACCTCTCCTTACAGAAGGAACTAAGCAGGAAAACAAGAATACTGCACAATGCAATGCTAAAAAACAGAGCAAATATATCCTACGTGGTCTATCAGTCCAAACACCACACAGTGAGTACCTGTCACCCACAGTCATAAGGGTTCAAAGTCTTCTTGGAAGTTTAAGGCCTTATATGTCTCAGAATGGCAAGTTCTGTGCTGTAACCCCAGATATATCTATCAAGTTATTCATGGAGCTCAGAACTAAACTTCCACTGCAACATACACTCTTACATAGAAATCCAGAAGTATTTAAAACCATGTAACATAAAATATTATTTACATTTGGGTGGGTGTTATGTTTGAAACTGAGACTATACATTCCTACACAAACAATAACCTCTACTACTGACCTGAAAATGAGGGCTAGAGACACACTTGGCAATTTGTTTAAACAAGGGTTCCTGGATTTTGACAAATTGCGACGGTTCGATTACATCCAAGATTTCCTCCAGCTCTCCTAGGAACATGACCTAAAGACAAGGAAGGAAGCACTGAACATAAAACCTCTGAATCATCTTGATCAGCAAAATACTGGTAACCCTCAAATTCTGCCACTTTAGGGAGAAATGGAAGCCTCAGTAGCTCAACAAGACTCTCTCTCAAAAAATGTTATCAGTTCTACCTTTAGCAGCTTCTGCGTTCAGTCTCTTAAAAGGAGGATGAGCGTGTGCAAATGCTGTATTTAAAGTAGCCCTGTACAACAAAATTCAGAATTGCACCAGTATACATACATGCCGAAAATCCAGCCTCATACAGGCAAAGAATTTGGCCAAGGCTACAACTTTGTTAACTAAGGTGAGTCTTAACTTTACCTCTATTTTTGGAAGCAATATTCAAAATAACGGTTTTGCTGTGTCATAAAATCTTATGAGGGAAACTCAAATTTGCATCAAGAATTTGAAATAAAATTGCAAAGGTCTAACTGCAGCTTTTACATGTTTACTAGGTAAATGCCAGACAACAAAATATCTTTCATCCTCCTTAGAAAAATACTATTCTCACACACAAACAATTCCAAATGTAACAATTTTACAGTCTATCCTCAACTACATTTATTCTCTCCTTTCTTAAAAAAAAAAAATAAATTCTCTGCAGAAGAACCAGTGTTTACTTTGTGAATAAAAACCATGGTTATCAAACTTTTCTCTTAATAGTCAAAAACATCCAAAAAAAACAGAATTCAAGTATGGAAAATCACCTGGAAGAATTAATAGCAAGATAGACCACAACATCTGCCACCTACCTGGAAATATCTAAAGATTCCTTGACTTACACTGCTGAACAAAATAACTCTTACGTTTTGTTAACATGAGCGTATCACTTACCTCTTTCTGACTGCAGGTTTTTGGCCAGAATTTCATTAAACCTCTAATGACCTAAATTGGAAGGGAAAAAAAAAAGTTGTATTTTTTGCTTTTCTTTCAACAGGCCAATCTGTTTACAATGTAAAAAAAAAAAAAAAAAAAAAAAAAAAAAAAGTATAAAATAAATACTTACTGGTTCTGTGAGTGAGGGGTCTTTCTCCAGAAACTGTACTATGCAATATGCCAGCTGTGAAGAGGCAAAGATTTAAGAAAACGAAGTTAGAACATTTCTATAAAGAAATCACAAAGGAATAATTTTGAAACAACAGAACACATTACAAAAAAAATTAAAGGTGGCAAACCAGCATATACAATAAAAATCAGAGTAACTTGGAATTCTAAATACAGTCATACAACCAATGTTTCGAAGCTTCTGTTACTGTCTGAAAATGAGTCTTTTTACACATTTTATACATCAGCAAAATCATGACAACTCCCACAAGATAAGCTGACACAGCCAAAAGCTGAATAACCTATTCAGAAAGCACAGCTTTATCAGCATAAGAAAGACTGCGCCACCTGAAAATCAGAGAGAAACGCAACAGGTATCACTTATCAGAGGAAAAATTCCATCATGAAAGCTGAATGTATAAAAGGATATATGAGAGTATAAATGTGGTATTAAGAAATCTGTGAGGGACAATGTTAAATATTATGCAAAAATGTGGCTATTAGTACTCAGAAAGTTGCCAGGGTGAGGAAGAGCCCTGACGGCACAAGGCTAAGGAAACTCAAACATCCTCTTGCAAGAGGGAATGGGAAAGGCAAACTTCTGAGAATGAGAAAAGGGCAGAGAAGAAAACCTAAAGAGAGAGTTTAGCTACTAAAAAAACTCCACAAAATATTACAGATGTATGTTACAATTTTAATTACCTAATCAGAACAGAAGACATTTATCATACAAAGTACATTAAAAGAATTTTAAAAAACCCCAAACAACCTATTGCATTTTTTTCCATATTTCAAAACTAATGTGCTAAGCAATTAAATTTCCAAAGCAACTTTAGAAAAAAAAAAAAAGTATCATTCTAACTGAGCAGAAAATATTTTTATAATTTCTACCTGTGCATGGAAGAGTGATAAACTCCTGACAGTATGTAAAGGAATCAGCACCTTCACCAGAAACTGTTTATGCTCTGCCTTAAGAGGTAAAGCAAAACCATTGATAATACTAGAAATTAGAAGAGAAATATTTGTTAGTGTTATCATCACAGAAAACATTCTTGAGGTCTGAACAAGCACTTTCTAGATTAAAATAATTTATCAGTCAGCACCTGTTTACAAATAGCAGGCTCATGGCATTTGTAAACAGGTGCTGACTTTTGTCCTGCTTTATATGAGCAGCGCAGAACTTATCTAGGTAGCAATTCAGCTCCAGCTTAGGAATAAACACATAAACAGCTGCACAAACCTGTTGCCAAACAGATAAGACCTTGTCTATGTGGTCTGCAAACTCATGTAAGCAAGGTGTTCTTGAGTAATTGACTTAGCAGAATTAGATTTACTCAAAATATTCACATGGTTAGCATGCTCAAAAAAAAAATTACAAAATTCTGCAGCATGTAAGGATGAAGTGCACAAAATTTAACACACACGCAAAATCAATCCAACACCTTTGGCTGTAACTTGCATCCAGTTATATACTCTTGGCAAAGATGTGACAGAGATTGGCACATGGGCTTAAAGATGAGCATGTGCACACAGCTGTTTTCAGAATCAGGGCTTATAGCAATACTTTTTCCGAATCCGAGACTATTCTGACGTGTCCAGAAGGGAAGTTTGAGATAGATAATAAATAAAGACTCACTTACCTTCCTAAAATTTCCAACAGTTCAGCTACGCCATTGAAGTGTTCAGTTTCATAAACAAATCTAAAAAAAAAGAAAAATTAAATATAAGTAATCTATCAATTTCCTAAAATGTTCAGAAGCATAAAGTACCTTCACTCACAACTTACCGTAGAAAAATATTATTAATCTGTTTTCGGATAAATGCTCTAAGACCCAGAAACTTGCCATAAATTCTGTGCAAGACTGTTTTTAGGTAGTCTCGTTCTCGAGGGTCTTCACTGTCAAATAGCTCCAACAGCTGTGTTTAAAGGAAAAAGAGAACTGAAACAGTAGGCATTTGACAAGTATGACACATGGACTTCTGTATACAAGTTAAATTCATGAAAGCATATGCATGTAAGAATGGGATATCTATGTTACTCAAGGTGTAGAAAGACAGTATTAAAAAAAACCCTGTTGTAACCCCAGTACAACATCACAAAACTCAACTTATTAATTTCCACTTCTGACATAACAAAACTTTGGAAATCTTCAAACAAGTAATAAAGTTCTGACTAACTGGCTCCAAACTGCTGCTGCCCTTCTCCCCCAAAATAAATAAATTCTGACATGCTGCCCTAACTACAAAACAAGACAGTTTGCTCTTACCATCTACCACTCCTTCACTCTGCAGAACTAAAAGATCCTCATCTGCTCTAATATTTTGTTCCCACAACATCATGTTAAGGTCACATTTTTCTAATTGCTTGTAATTTATATTATGAGCTCTTAAGCCTTCACAGTGATTCCATGGCCTTCACACTGTGGAAAGACTCAACAGCAAAGTCTACGCCAGCACTGGATCTGCTGTTACAGGATCTCCACCAATTGACACAAATCAAAGCATCAGGTGGAATTAATCCTGAACAAAATGGTAACTTCAATATCCAGTTTGAAAAGAAACAAACCAACAAACAACAACAGAGAACCCACCTTTACTAAGTAACTCTTAAATAAGATTTTAAAGGAGCAAAATGATTATGTGGTACTCAGTCAAAAGAGAACACCATCCAGCGTCTTGTATTGTACAAAATATATCCCAAAACACTGACACGTGAAGTTGCCTCTAAGAATTCAGGCATGAAATAAGCAGAAGGAATATCACCTGCAGATCATTTTTCTATTCTCCTTGAATTCTCTGGCACAAAAGTATGAGCTTCCCCCTACCCCTTCATCTTCATCTTTTTTGACAGCACAACATTAGCTATTCTGGCAGACATTCGGAATAAGTTAGAAGGTAAATTTTATTTAAAAACAAAACAAACCAATTAACTGAACAAAACCAAGAAAAACCCAAACTTCCCCACAAATGCACAGAAAATAGGGAATTTTAAGGCAGTAATCAAAAGCAATCAGTATCTCTCTTGCATGAAAAAGAAAGCAACCATTAACCATTCCCTGCCTTGCACGAGAAGAGAAGACAGTTTAACAAAAAGGTCTTACAAATTGATAAGATGCTGTCAGAAAATTATTAGAGGAATGGTAGAAAACAAAATTATCTTGGATTTACAAAGAGACAAATTAAATACCTATTAATAAGTAGATATGTCAGTGTATGTAGACTACCTGATCTCTGTTAAACTGCTACAGAACTCTGAGGAGATGAAAAAGAAAAAAAGATAGAAAAGGATGGTTAAAAGTTGTTAAGCTGAAGCTGCCTGGGATTTTGCTTTCTAACATCCAGTTTTAGGACTGATGTATGTATTCATCTTCACTGTTTTGGATGTTTCTGTAGCTTGTAATGAGATCCCACTATCTTTTCCTTGCAATAATAATCTGTGGTGGGAATTTCATAAGGAAATGAGGTTTGTCAGCTGCCCTCCAGAGGTTATAAACACATTGCTTTGTTCAATTAGTTCTACAGTTAAATAAACAAATAGTCACCTCATCCTTCCCCAAATAGCAAATTTCACCCAAAGATAGCAAACAGCTGGAAACACTTATGTTTTTAATTTTCTTATTGGATTGCTTTTAGGAGCAAAATATTTATATTTCCAGTTCTCTTATACAGATCCTGTGTGGAAACATTGCTGAACTAAGACTCAGTCCCTCATTAAAAAAAGCCCAAACAAAACAAAACCAAAAAAACCCCCAACAAACCAAACAATCAAAAACAAAAACCCACACCAAAACCAAAACACAATAAGACAATTATTTTGATACTTCCAATTTGTTACCAGGTTTCAATAGTAAAATCTTATTACTATGGGTAAGTTGCAAGACTTCCATATTGATTATTCTGACACTAAACATTCATAGAAAAGGGAAATAATTTTTCCAAAATAGCAACCTACATAACACAGACACTTGTGGATATATTTAATAGTATGTCTCTTAGCAACCACTGCCAACCATTTCAGACAGTATATAAGCAGGCTTTAGAAATGAACAGCATTTTATCAAAACATACAGCTGAAAGCCAGAAACACACCTACCTTCAAAAAACAAAAGCAAAAAGCAAGCAAACAAGAAAAAGCTTTAAAAATGCCCATTTAAAAAAAAAATGTCATTTTTTCATATAGGTATTCTTACTGCCAAGAAACAATTAAAGTTATTCAAATTAAAAAAAAAACAAAAAACAAAAACAAACCAACGCAAATTAATTTAGAAAGTTGATTTTAAAGATTGTTAAGTATCATGAAACAGCAAACATGTGTAATGTTCTTAAGTCTTAAACTGGTTTCCAATGTAAGTGATCTGTAGTCACAGATTCTTAGGAGTTATTCCAGACATGCAACAAATACAGTAAGAAGTCCCTTCAGGCTAAACACAAACACCTATACACACAGAGACAGGTCTACTTGTATGTATATATAAGGCTCAACAGAACTTTTTATAGAAAAATGTGAATTTTAAATTGACATGTTGTGCATAGTAATATATAAAAACCCATCACCTAACCATGTCCCAAGAACTTCTGAATTCTTAGAATTCTTTTGAACTTTTAATTTTAACACATTTTCAGATATGTAGGCTTCAAAATCCTCTATTTCCCTCATTGAGTAGATATAATTCTTTCATTTAGTAGTTTTATTAAAGACTAACAGGGTTAAAAAAAAAAAAAGTCCTTATCTTACACCCATTCTCCTGTGCTGAACTGTAACAGGTTTGAATGGCTTGAAAGAGGGTGAGTGAG